AGTGCCGGCCCGCGAGCCGAGGCTCTAGGCGGGGGCGCCGGGCTCGTGGGCACTCCGCGGTCCAGGCGGCCTCAGGGGAAGGCCCTCAGGGGACGGCCTCAATGGGGCGCTGGAGGGGGCGCGAGGCCAGAGCAGGGCTCCAGGGGAGAAGGGGGGACGGTGTCAGGGGATTAGCCCTCTTTAGAAACTCCATCGCCCTCGAGGGGAGAGGACCCCCTCGGTACCCGTGTCTCCTGCGCTCCCTCAGTCCTGCCTTCCCATCCCTTGGCGTTTGTTTCCCTTGTCCTCCAGGCAGCCGCTGGGTCGGGGCCGTCCAAGCCCCTTTCGACGGACTCTGGGGGTTTCTTTCTCCGCATCCCCTTGAGAGGGCTTATTAGGTGGCGCCGCCAGAATAGCTGCGGGGAGTCCGTCTGCTGCAGTCGGGGCGAGGACTGTGGGGAGGATCATCAGGAACTCATGTCTGGCTCCTCACAAATAAAGGGGCTTGTGAAAAGAGGAGGGGGTGCAAACGACTTTTAGTGTTAAATCCTGGCCATCTGGGGTACCTGTCAACTGTCAGGTCAGGCAGGAATGGCTTAGCTTGGAGTGGGGATGGATTTGGGGTGTCGCATTTTGTTTTATGAATGACAGTCGCTTCGAATGCATCAGGATATGCGATAGTTTCAGGGTTTTAAATTTTACTTCCTCCTTTAGCTTCTAGGATCGCCGAGTAGGATGGGTTTGGCGAGGAGAGAGAGGGCTGGTTCAGTGCTGTATTGCAGTGTGCGCTGAGCTAAAAGCTCTTTGAGGTATGGATCCTGCCCAGAGATTACACTGGTCATAAACCTGAGCATTAACTGCGTCATTAGGAGCTAAGGATGTGCTTAATTGATTCATTTATACCAGAATATTTGAATAAGTTTGCATAGATTTATGCATACACGCAAATGTCCTATTTAACGGGAATTGCAGGTCATGAGATTCTACAGACAGAAGAGACCTCAAAGGTCATTCAGTTCGGCCTCTTTCTCTTCCTTTCTCACATAGCCTCTCCTTTTATCTAAGGCTAGTCCCCCCACCTGTACTTCGGATCCTATCTTTTCCCTTCTCAGGAACCTCTCTCCTGTATATTCTCCTGCTCCTTCTTGACATACTCGAGCTTCTATCTTAAAACAAACCCTCCCTCCACCCCCATAGCTGTCACCTTTTCTCTTCCCACTTTACGGCCAAAAATTTTGATTGAGTTGTCTATATTTATTTTCTCCCATTTGCTTACCACCTACTCACCCCTCAATCCACTGCAGTCTGATTTCTGGCCCTATCATCCTGCTGAAATGTGTCTATAAACTTAATGGATATTTTTCTATTCTTTTTTTTTTTTTTTAAAAGATGACCGGTAAGGGGATATTAACCCTTGACTCGGTGTTGTCAGCACCAAGCTCACCCAGTGAGCTAACCGGCCATCCCTATATGGGATCCGAACCCGTGGCCTTGGTGTTATCAGCACCGCACTCTCCCGAGTGAGCCACGGGCCAGCCCCATAAAGCTTTTAAAGAAGCTAATCAAAAAGAAATGAACATAGAAGATTCAACACAAGTAGAACAAAATAGGTCTAAGAAAAATAAAAGGAAGAAAATAAAAATAAACTATAAAACAGAATTAATATGAGCTAGTTTTTGAAAAAGCTGTATTGCTGTAAACAGAACAAAACAAAAGAACCCGAGAGAACATGTAAGTAAAATTAGAAATGAAAAGGGCTGGGTCGACCCGTGGCTCACTCGAGAGAGTACGGTGCTGATAACACCAAGGCCCTGGGTTCGGATCCCATATAGGGATGGCCGGTTCGCTCACTGGCTGAGCGGATATTTTTCATTCTTCATCTTCCTTGATGTCTCAGCAGCATTTGACTTTGTTGACCATTGCTTCCTTAACGGAAAATATTCTTCCCATGGCTTCTGTGATGCCTTGCTCCTGTTTTGATTCATACCTCTCTTTTGCAGATTCACCCTCCTCTACTCTGTTATTCAATGCAGGTATTCCTCAAAGACCCTCTTCTCACTCTCTATTTTCTCCTCAGGCAGTCTCCTCTAAGCCATAGCTACAACTATCTGTATGCCAGTGATTCTCCATATTTTACCCCCAGTCCAGACCTGTTCTTTAAGTTCCAGATTAATATGTCAAACTGCCTATTAAAACCAAAGCCCCTCCAACTCAGCTTGTTCAAATCTGAACCCACGATCTTAGTCCACTTAACTAGTACTCTTCCTGTTTCCTGTCTCACTGAATGGCACAACCATCCATTCAGTTATACAGCTGGAAACTGGGTGTGGGGTGGATTATCCTTTATGCCTCTTCTTTTTCACCATGGCCTCTGCCCCCCAGTAAAATCCATCACAGTTCTTCACCCGCACCTCACCCCTGCACACCAAAAAAGGTATTTAATTAGAACCAAAGAATCTGGCTTGGGGGCATTGTTGCTTTGAACAGTACCGAAATCGTCCGCTGGACTAGTCACATAGGTTCTGTCATTTTAACCTCCTAAAAATCTAACTGGTCCACCTTTCCATGTATTCATTTCCACCTCTTTTTCCCAGACTACTATATTTTCTGTTCTAGACTACTGCAGGAAGCTCCCAAGTGGTCTCCTTATGGCATTCTGGCCCACCTCCAATCCATTCTCCCCATTGACCCTTTCTTTCTGCCCATGCCCATTGCTACTTAAACCCCCCCTCAACAGCATCCCATTACTTTTGGGAGAAGACCAAGTCCTGAATGAGGCCTTCAAGGCTCCTTGTTGTTCTGCTCCTGCTTCTCTCTGTTGACTCCCTTACCCTCTTAGGTTATGTAAGCCTTTCATTTCTTTGCACCTACAGTAGATTCTCTTACCACAGGTCTTGGCATGTGCTGTTTCCTCTCTTTGTAATGTTCTGCCCCAACCATTTACCTCCTACTCAGAGATCACTTAGCTACTTAAGGGAAGTCTGTTCTGACACCACACTATGAGTCAGGATCCTTTGTGATCCTGAAGAACTGTATTCCTTTCCTTAGCTGTTTATCTTTTTGTCATTTTCAATGTATTAGTGTCATTGTTTGTTTCTAACACTAGACTTTACCTGCCATGAAAGCAGAAACCATGTTAGTTATTTGCTCATTTTATCACCTTTGCCTTGCATACCTCCTTAGACCTAGGTGCTCAACACATTTTTGTTCAAAATGAATCTAATCTCTGTTTGAATACTCAGAGGGTGCATCACCCTAAAGCTAGCCCGTTTTAGTGTCACACAGCTCTTTTAGGTCTTTTTTATATGGAGTTCCATGTAACTTTTACACATAGGTATTATTTCTGCTGTTTAAAGATGTATGGAATTAAACACAGTTCCTTTTCAATGTGGTAGATTCTCAGATATTTGAAGACAGGTTATATATTCCCTCAGATTTTCTATTTTGCAAGTTAAACATCCCCAATTCCTTGCATACTCTGTATTCTAAACCCTTAATCATTTTACGTTCCTTTACTCTAGAACTGCTCTGTTTGTTAACCTTTCTTTTAAAATGTGCCCAGAATGGAACACAGTGATCAGAGAAGAATGTACTTGAACTATTGGTCTCTTTTAATACAGGCAAAAATTGTATTAGCTTTTTTTGTAGAGTAAATCACACTCTTGGCTCATATGGAGCTTGTAGTCAGTTAAGGATCTGGTGTTTGTTTAAAATCAGCTCCCCAACGCCTATTCTGGATATTCTACAATTGTTTTATTAAACCCAAGTATAAGACCTTGCCTTCTTATAATTCACTTAAAATTTTTTTTTAATTTATTTTTAATTTTTTTTTTATTGATGCATGATTGATTATACATATTTGGAGGGTACAGCCTTGACTACTGTCACCTGTGTACAACATGTTATGATCAAATCAATATTATTAGTATATTCATTATTACAAATTGTAATTATTCTTTATGCTCCTTACCAGTCTCTCGCCATTATTTTTCTTAGGTCAGGCCATGTTTGTCCTGAAGGTGTTCTTAATTCTTTTTTTTGGCAGCTGGCCTGTATGGGGATCCAAACCCTTGACCTTGGTGTTATAATACCACACTCTCTAACCATCTGAGCTAACTGGCCAGCCCTTGATTCTTAATTCTTTCTTTTTTTTGTCTTTTTCCATGTCCGGCAACGGATCGCAACCCTCAGTGTCGCCCCCGCACCGGACCGGGACCGGCAACGGGACTGCAACCCTCGGTGTTGCTCCCGCACCTCGCTCAGCCAGTGAGCGGGAACCAGTCTGTATGTGGGATCCGAACCCTCGGGCGGGAGCCCCGCCGCACTTCCCAAGCGGCGCACTATCCAGTGCGCCACTGGGCCGGCCCGATTCTTAATTCTTTCATGTTAGGAAACACAGCATCTCAGTTTTGTTTCACCTGTAGGTTTCATAATGACAACTTCTCTGTCTACATTCAAGTCATTGATAAAGGGTAGAATAAACCTATAAGACGGGGCCAGAAATAGCCCTTGAGCATGCCTCTAGTGACCCTCTTCTAAACTGATACCCATCAGTACACTTTTGGTACCCCTGCTTAATTACAAATGTATCTTACTTAATCCTCACAAAACAACCCTACAAGGTAGGTACTATTATCTTTGTTTTACTCAAAGAGA